GTTTACCCAACTTTCTTTTGAAAGCGTCGACAGGTGTACCTTCAATCGCTTGTTTGGGTAATGAATACAATTTGTCGTTGATTCGATGGGAAATTCGATAGTCAGCTAACAAGTTATTTATCCTATACTTTTAAAATTTTTACGGGTGTGCTCGTATATTCTCTTCCTTGAAAGGCATGAAAAGTGACAGCACATTGAATACAGAGTTGTCACAAAGTAATTCAAAAACTGTGATCAAGTCACCTCTGGTTCTTCTATATTACAATCGAAATAGATTTACCTGAGACGTCAGTATATGGAAACTTTGTTATTCTGAAAGTCATCAGTTGTAGGTCCCTTGACTAAATTCAGTAAAACCTTCATTCCTCAAGACCAATAATCATTTCGCAAGGAAAAATCTTTTGAAATGAATATGCATTGACACACTGTGACCCGTGAAAGATCTGGATTTAACGTCCTCTCTGAAACATCAAAGTCAAAGTGACTTGATTTTTACAACAACACAGAAATTCTAACTAGATTTCGTGCTCATGGAGCTTCTAATAGTTCTGGAAGCCCGTCGAATTTGTCTGCATGTCAAAAACATTCATAACATTTTCATGTCAGCTGTTTGTGAGATGACGGATGTGTGGATTAGGGAATATATCGATACCAAAATAATGATGGAGTTAATAAAAATATTATGGAGACAATGAATAAAATACATTTATTTAAATACACATCACTAGGTTCATGGAAACTTACTCAGATTGTGAGTAGGAAGCGTGTTCGAATTTCGGTATAGTGATCTGTAATTACAAATTCTCAATAATTTCAAATCTGCTAACTACAAGCCAAGGCTATTTGTTTCCATAATAATCACGTAATCGGCACATCAATGTGATTTGTAAATGCAGGTAGCAAATATACTTCAGTTTTTTTATGCCTCAGCTGATGAGCGATAACGAGAAGCAGCAGTGTATTTATGGGCGAAAATCCGTGCATCATGTTGTAAGAGAACCAAAACGGTCACGAAGGGTCAGTGTCAAATTCAAACAGCGATTTCGCATCCCAAAATGTAGTTGTAAAGGTTGCATGAAATTCTAGAGAATGTCGATAATTAGAACAACGCATACAAGCGAATAATCGTTTTCAATCGGACTGTCATCAAGGTTTACTTTAATATACATCAATATTTCATTGTGATTATTGACCTAAATTGCCTTGATTAGTTTGACATTTTCGTAAAACTGTTCATTTATATTAGAGTAAAGCCTGATGACGATCTAACTGAAAACAGTTGTTCTGTTATATGTGTTGTTCTAATTTTCACAATAGGAATCTTAAACATTCCAATGTCAGTAATAACATAATTTCCTTGTATATTAAGTATGTTAGTGTAATTATAAGGAGCATTTGAATTATAGTACGATTTAAGAATCTCAGGATTAACGAAACTGGATCAAGAAGTACTATGTAAGCACTATACTTGTAATTCGAAGTCAAGCATTCAGCAAGTACAAAGGAATCGTTAGTTCATACAAACACCTCAGTTACCTATTTGCAACCAGCTGCCCCCGACAAGTGTGGTTACAGTGGTGAAGAAATTATAGTAAGAAAGAAAATATACGCATCTAAAAGCAAAATGCTAGAAATAAAATACGTGATGTTTTACGGAAGACGTTGTGCCAATACAAGCATGTATGTTGTTGTCGATGACCCATAACTTTGCTCTACATTCAGAACTTCTACTGATGCTACAAGTATTCAGAGTTTAACAACGCCTTAACACGTAATACCTTTATATTAGTATACCAACATTGCCGTATAAGAAGTCAGAAGTGAACTTGTTCGAAGTTATATTCAACGGGTTGTTGAATAGTGCTCGATTTAGGCTGATTGTCGACTGTGGAGGATATGTGGCAAGGTGTACTTGTAGTGGTATTGGACAATAGCCACACAATTCAAGAAGCTGTGAACACGAGACTACTCAGAAAATAGATATTCAATATTTAACGCGGAGAAATACCTAACAATGGAGAAGGCGCGAATAATGAACTATATAGACTGGAGTTGATCGAATGGCATGCCTCGGCCATGCCGGCGTGGTCCCTGCTGAATGTTATCTTATATCTTCTATTCATATTAAATACATTGTTCTTTCTCTAGCTTAACTTTGTTCTACATCATGTATTGGTAATTGATACGATACAGTGAGTTGACGTAGTCGATGGCGTGACTTCCACGTAAGATCTCATAGATTAGGCAGTTATATCATGACAAATCTACAAATTTAGGATTAGATCTTTTAGTAGAGCAGCACTGATATTATATTAGACCATAGTTCTACATACTCACTCGTGATCTGAAGCGCATGCGCAACTAAGAGCCTTGAGGTAATTGAGTTCAGTTAAGCCAGTGCGACTAGAACCGAATTTCAAGGACTTACGGGACTATTATTCTGGCGGATTTATTTAGCGCTGCATTTCGTACAATGTTCAGTGAAAGGCAAGCTTAGTGAGTTATGTCTTACCGTACATTTCGCATGATGAAAACATCAAAAATTTTGGCTAGGCTAAATACATGAACCGTACGAACCAGTTCATATAATGGTTTAAATGAATGTCCTACAAACTCACCTGGAAGCCAGTTTATCGTGCCATGAAATATCGGCTGAAGAGAATGATGAATAAGCATTGTACTCACCAATGATTCCTTAACGAACTCAGAAGTATGGAACGCAATAAGGCACGACAATGATCGTAAACGTTTATCAGTCTTTCGGTAGAATAAAGAAACTATATGCCTTGCATTTAGAAGAGCAAATGACTCTTGATTTCTGTTTCGGTGATTTCATCTTTATAATAAGCTAATTAGCCGATTTTTTCCATTTTCATTTTTAGCGGTAAATAAATCCCTGAAATCAAAAGCTCTGTAAGTCTTCAACATTTCATGCTGGCCACATAAGTTTTAATGGATTCAACCAGCTGAAGGCGCTCGGTCATGCATCCGCACGAGATTACAAGTGTGAATGCCGTGCTCGACATCCTCCGGCCAGTTTAGGTCATCCGCTTGTCGATATATTGACATCTCATCAAAGATGTCTTCGAACCTACTCGCTCCCGGCATTTTTAGGTTCTTATATATCGCTGCTAGAAATATGCAAAGTTGACTACCTTGTGGTCAAACTGCACCAAAAGGTGGCTCAACATTCCTACCATTAGTAAATACTCAAAGAAAAAATTATCACAAGTTAAAAAATGTCATGGTTCATCTGAATTGTAGTATATTAGTGTCAGACTGCTCAATGCAAGTTAAGAATAATCAGCCAGGTCTATTTGGCTTTAATAACTCCAGTGTTTATTGAAATGCACGATCACATAAAACTTTGAAAGAATACACAATATCAAAACGTATAATCAATATACTAGAGGTGATGCACATCTCAAAACTTGAATATTACTACTAAAATTACTGATACGATTATCCTCTGTACTAGTCACGAATAAACACAAGAAACTCGAAGAAGGAGTACATAATTTCTATTTCCAAATCTCAAATTTATTCAGACTGTTCGGAAATCTTTTGTACGATGTTTTAAATAGCGAGAAGGAAATACAAAGCCTGAGCTACTATCATCCTCAAGGTCGTGGAGATTTGTCTGTACCATAATGTTATGCTTTGAGGTGAGCTTAACTTCAAATGAATATGTTGCATGTTGTATATAAATGGAAACTAAAATATTATGTCCATAGTCGTGGTATCGTTTCGCGTTGTATTTTTTTCAATTACACAATCACAATATTGTGATCTTATAAATTATGGGAAACATTTGCGCGAGTCTGTTGACCTTGAGAATGTCCATCTACTATCGAGGACTGAACGAAGGTTATAATTCAGTGTGAGAAATTATAATTGCGATTTACAGTTGATGGTTAGGACTTAAATTTAAGGTTTTCATCACGAGCTGCCATGAGCTACAATGCCAAAACTCTATTAAGCCAAATGTGTGAATGAATTTCGCGCTAATATCTAAGACTTTTTGTCGTAAATCTGATTGGTTCGTCGATAAGCTATAGTCTTGATGGATTTTTCGTCACGAACTGACACCAACTATAGTGCCAAGACGCTGTTTAAGCATAGTCCCAACACAGACCTTAGAGGTAACACTGAGAGACTAGAAACACAACACAGCAAAACGAACTGTAGACTCACCTTATTACGAGAGGTCAAGTGCTTGGATTCTCTGCCGGTTGAGCTAGTCCAAGCAACTCAGGCGTACCTTATGAGGAAACTTGACATATTCTTAAGAAGTACGGACAGTATCTCGCTAAAATTTACTACTCTTTTATCAATAAATATCTATAGGCTCTTACCTAAAGGCATCGGTGATCCATTGCTATTAAACACGGAAGCCCGTTAGGCGAAAGCTTCTATTCCGTCCAGAACCATTTGAACAGTCGGGATCGGAAGATTGATAGTTTCTATTAGTGTTACTGAAAATGCCTCTGAAACGATCGAGTAATCTTTTTCGAATGCTTTGTATTGTCAATTTCATCGTACAGTTTCAATAGTAATAGGTATATTTTACCAACTGTTTCATCAAAATAAAGATAACTTCTGGTGATGCTTTTGTACTTCACTGAGGGCATCGACTGAGTAAACAAAAATACTATATTGGGTCTGCTTTCAAGTGCTAGAATTAGCTTCAGCCTTTTAGTTGCTTCGATCGTTCTCAAATGAAAACCTACACATTTCTTAATTTGGAACTTATTCCTGTCAGAAAACATCTCAGTTTTCGCTTAAATATTTTCAGTGCGTTTAGACTAATTTTCTTCTTTTTTTGCTACCAGCAATTTCGGTTGAAACCACTATTGACGATTTCTTGACTTAGAGGTCACTGCAAATATTTCATATAGCTTCTTTCAAACGAAATCATAAACAAATGCTTGTATGCAGAAATGGTTTATTAATCAACAGTAATACTGTACATGTCGTTATAATTCCCACTAAGATTCTCAATGTTCAATATATTGAATGCTTATGATTTACTCACAGTAAATTACCCACTCTTCCAGTTAAAGGGAAATATTGACCCTTACTGTCAATGTCAATCAGTTTTAGTCTCTGTTCACAATGATCATAAAAGAGATTGGGAAATGAAATGGACTGTATGCGAATCAATGTTCAAAGTATTTGTCCCATTATCCATAGGATGTAATACCTTGCAACTAAGGTGTGAACACCACCTCGCTGAGTTTCGAATAGTGTATGTGCATAATCGTGACTCTCCATATGTTGTCAGGCCTATTTATGTAATATGTTCTGATGATACTGGGTGGTTCCAAGCTCCTGAAGGAATTGTTCCCACGAAAGAAAGTGCTTGTAAACGTATTGGGCTGGGAATTAGATTGTTGCAAACTTTGACTGCAGAAGCTTTTCTGTCTGAACTTGGAATGAGATGCACTTTTTTAATTAAGGAAGAACTCAATCGTAAATCATCGCGAAATATTTCAGACTGGTCTTCCGAAGCCTGTTGTAATTGTCACTACTCAAGTCTCAGTAAAACGTTTGTTAATGGCAATACTCCCGAAGATGTGTGGAAGAAGTTGGCATACGAGCTCTACGAAAAATATCCTCACAACTTTGAGAACACAAAATGGGTTGCTTTTATGGCTTGTACACGCTATCACCCTCCCAAGAAAATTAATTCCGAATTCCTGAGTTACAATGAAATACTTCTTCGGACAACAGCTCATTTCGCTCTCGGTAAGCATCCTCTTAGGGTTATGTTTTTATTATAATATATTCCGAAAAATTATTCTTTCCTAAAATTTTGTTGACTAAAACAATCACTGTTTAAAAATGAGACACAGCGTTCTAGAGAATCTAGTCTTTGAGGGTTCCCACCAATTGTCGTTTAGTTGAATAGAGGGCATATATTTCGTTCCGTTCGGAACATAAGGTGACAAACTTGGATACTTGTTCATATTGCTTAGTTAAATCAAATATGTTATTCGATGGTTTTCCTAAAATACACCGCTGGTTTGCTTCAGATCCTGGTAGTGTAAGATTAACATTAGATCTACATGTGGAATTTCGCTTTTATTGGTGCTGATAGTTGAAATCACCAACTTATGGGCTGACTGTTAGTGAAAAGAACATACCAGCGATACCGAGAGGATTTACGAGTTATATTCACTTAATTTAAATCCAAAATCAAGGTAATTTGCGAGACAAAGTTGAGATAAAGCTAAGCACTCGAACCAGTCTGCTCATTAAAACTTGACACGCGCATGTGTTGGTCAGGAGAGTATATGAAGGGAAGTTTTCGGGCCTTACTGGCTTGATAAACCGAAAATCTATATCATTATTATAGGAAAGATTGATTTATCAGAATAGACACGACCGGTACTGAAAGTTTGCTATAGTTTCAGCAATAAACCTAGCTCTTCGCAGCTGATCACCATTTATACTAGTTGTATATAAGTAAAGTGAAAACTAGAAATGAGATAACTGGAAGTGGATCGTTAATCAATTGAAACTGCAATTAGTGACAGCTGGCAATGTTTCTGATGCTGACTGATAACTGATTTAGTTCGCCTTCGAATATGTTTGGCAATCCATTGCCTACAAGCATTTCTAAGACGTAGTTGTATGTATTAAATAGCATATCTATCTGTTGAATCTTTATGTTTGATAAAAAACGTTAACTTGAACCGGCGAAAATGTATAACTTCATTGGTTAGTTGAAGCAAAATAGATCATTGAAACATTAGAAAAAGTTGAAATGATTTTTATGGTTTGTAATGTTGAAGAAAAAACTTGAAAAGAAATACGCAAGAGCTTTACACTTGCAAGTCAACGATTAATGACCCAGTAATTTACATGATAAATAATCTACTCCCCAATTCGAAAAAAAATTACACACGAATATAAATGCCAATTAAAAAGCACTAATGATTCTCGTTATCTCGAGTTTAACAGGTTTGATAAATACCATGGTTATAAGTTTAGTGTCCATTTTTCAATGTAAGACTCCTGAAAATTACTTGCAGTGATCATTATACAAAGAAGTCACACTGAACTGTCACCCAGAGTTAATAGAAGTGGATATTATACCGAACCAGACCTACACCCAGTTAGTGCGAAATTCAAATGAAAAAATTTCGCATTAAGTCAGTGTATGGTTTTACACTTAGTTTCTTAGCAAATCGTACTTAGGGATTTAACATCCTCAACAGGATGGTAGTTTAAATTATAATACAGATTCCACATCATTCCATTAAATTAGATGTGGGAATCCAGCTGCAATCAGTAGTCCCTGCTCGAAAGTAATGGTGTTATTGACCACTTAGTTTCATTAAATTACGTTTAACGCATGTAACTATCAAAATAATGCATAAAGTAAGTTTTAGCAAGCTTTTTTTATTGATATTCAGTTGATCCATACATAATGATTCAGTTTGGATTTTTTGTTGGTTAAATATTCTTGTCTTGTCAAATTGTGGGTTAGATCCCCATCTTTTAGTGTCGGACTTATTTTGATTTGTGAAACATCCAGTTTACGTTTTTTTTATGAATAGGAACAGGGGGTTTAGCCTTACTTGGAACGGGGACTTTACATGCGTGGCCAGAAACGCTTAAAGATTTGCAGGTAGTTTTGGGTAATACAAGAATTGTTGATCCAACATTGATGGATGACACTGCTTATCGGTGAGTTGTAGTCGTGAGATGCGTATGTAAATTATTTCCCTCTTAAACGATAAGTTACTATCTATAATGGAACCACTGTACTGTTATATCCGTTGTCTAACTCCAATACATTCGAATCAGTAATAATCTTGATGAAATATTGGTCCTATTTACTTCTATCGACAAATTCTGTTAATAACAACATAGATATGAAAATGTGAATACAGAAAGCATTGGAGGAATACATATTTCTGAAGTTTGGTGATGCAGATTAAAAACAAGTGGGGAAAGGAAATGGATGTGAAACAACCAACTCAGCGAATAATGAGTAATAGTATAAAAACGACAGAAGTCCAGTTAAAGTATAAATGACAGACACACATAAGGAACGCATATGTAAGAGCGCACATGACATGGTGAACAAGATTACAAATAACAAAGTACATAGAAAGATCATAGAATATCTGGTCAGGCTAGAATAACACACTTAATGGTCAGAAAAGACAGACTTCGTTCAGGAATGATAAGAGCTGTTATTGTACATATTGCAGTTTACTTGGTTCTGTTGAACTAAGTCTGAATAGGCTGTTCAAAGCATCCACTCGTATGCATTCTGTTATATTTGAAAAATTCAACCTGATTCCACATTTGATGTTATCTACAGAAGTCAACCAAACCGACCTAATAGTCTTATTCTCCACCTACATCCTGTTGAATAATTTTTATCATTTTGTAACTTTAATTCAAATTAGTGTGTACCAAAACAGTTTGCTGAACAGTATTTGTCATATAAGCACTACTTATGAAAAAGCTTGATTCGCACCATTGTTTGAGGGCAATCTTTTGCAGCCATTTCTGAACCTTATTTAAAGGGAATTCATAGCAGTTGCTATTATAACTGTTCATTTTAATAAATTGAAATTAGTTTAATTTTGTTCATGATTCTCAATCCGTAATTTACATGATGTTTTTCACTGGTTCCTTTGTCAGACACACTTACTGGGCGGCTTTTGCTACAGGATTAGGTGCTGTTTGGCATGAATTAGGCCATTGTTTCGGACTGGAACACTATCCCCAGGGTATAATGTTTCGTGGTGATGATATTAATTTATGCCTTGGATTCCCACCTCCTGATTCTATTTGTCCACATGAATCCAATATGAATGGTCAATCTGTCCAAGCTACAGATCGATACGATAGTTCGAATCCTGATAATAGACACAGAAGAGACCTTTGTCAAGTATGCTATTCCTGGTAATGTTAGTTGATTTTTTCAGTATTAAGAATTTCGATTATTTAAAATAATGATTATTTCAATGATCTGGTGAAAAAAACAACCGGAAATTGACTGCGCTCAACAATGACATTTTTCTCAAATATTTTTATGGTTAACATAAGCTCTGAAAGGTTCTAAACTTAAGGAAAAATAATATAAAAATTCAGTCACGTTAAGCTACTGAAGAAACCTTTGTTTACCATTATTTGAAGATTGCTATTAAGAGCTTACCTATCTTAGATGATTGGTGTCGGTTTCCACAAATTATATTGTGATGAACATTTTTTGTGTTTCATTTTTTTGAAGCACCAGGCAACACAACCTTTTATGCTTCAATAATTTTCAAGTTGTTTATCTTCCGCTAATAATCACAATCTAATTAGCCTGTTTTGTAATCTTCTACAACATTATCGACTATTTCCGCCCTTATTGAAATATCACTGCAGTAAAGCCCCCAAATGCCCTGGTACGGCCGAGAGTGGGGAGAGTCCACTCTCCCTCTCGAAATGCTCTCACGTGGCCATGCGTATATAGCCTCTGCTAGGGAAGTCCTACTCACTGCCTTCTCGTGGCGGGGGGTGTTGTTTACGAAATTGAGAGGACGAAAAGCGAATGTCCGGCGCTTTAACCAGATTCCAACTCAATGGTGCACATGGGTTCCGGTATCCTGCGGGAACAAATGGCGTATGAACCAATTGTTGGTCACCGGCTTCCATGGGACTGCATCTCCTTACAATGCTCCACTGCCTTGTGGGTCAGACCCTCAGGTCGAAGGCTTCGGGTGTGGCCCCCTAAGAAAACCACTTGCTTCGGTTTGGGCATCCGGGCAGTATCACAGCCCTCACACATATCGAATGAGATTTGTGTGGCGCATATGTATTTGGTGCCTCTTTGTACCAATATCTATGTGTTGAAATAAATAAATAAAAAGTCCTTTTATATTCATTGTCTTGCCGATTTATCTCCCATCCGGCTACTTCCGGATTCGTATAGAGTATGCAGTCACTGCTAGGGAGGTCCTGCTCACTGCTCTCTTGAGGTAAAGGTATTGTTCACGAGATTGGGAGGACAGAAAGAGAATGTCAGGAGCTTCAACCGGGTTGGTGGGTACGGAGGATCCACCTGATTCTCTATCTCCCCACAACCGCGTTTTTGTATAGTGCATATGTATTTGGTCCAACCTTGTACCAGTGTATATGTGTTCAAACAAGTAAATAAATATTATGTGTTAGCCTATAACATACATCCATTTACTGTCATTAATATAGTTTGGTAATCAAAGATAAAGTCTATTTGTATTAAAATAATCGTTTGATTCTCATACGCAAGCCAAGTGAAACATTTGAATATTGCACATAATTTACAAAGCATATTTATGCTTTTCAAATATTAATATGTATTTTATCATCTGAAAAACGATTATATGGTAAACCTTTTTTTATTAGATTCAACCCCCTAAGTCAATGTCCCGTGCTATACAGTTTCATCGCATAGTGCAATTTCATCCAATAAAGTCTCCTTTACATCCCTCAGATCAAACCATAAATAAAGAAATGAAGTTTAAGCGATGGGGATTTTGTAAGTCTTTATGGCATCAAGGTTCTGCTTTTTGGGGAACAAATGCGCTTTCAAAGTTACTTTCATGTCCGTAAGTTAGATATGGAAGCTTATCCTTAAACAATGTTACAGATAAAACCCCATGTTACATTTTAAGATGTTCAGTACTTTTATACGTGGTCATAATACATTTGTATTGGAAATGTTTTTTGATTAAGATTATTTTCATTCATTCTTCAACCCTTGATTTTTCACTTAATAAAGATATGCAAATCTTTTATGTAAAACGTCATGTTTATCATAACTTTGCTTCTTTTTTAGATGGATCATCGAAACACCAACTCTAGATAAAGACAAACTACCTGTTCAGAAATGACTTTAGTCATATGTAAATCCCATGTAAATTACAAGTGTAGTGTAAATTATTATGTTGAATTTTGTATAATTAAAAATTATACACTGATATGCCTCACTTATTTTATTAGTCCACTGTTAGCATATGATTCTCACATGGAAGGTGCAATTTTACATTTAGTGTTAAGCAACTTGGAAATGTAGTGCATCAGGTAATTTTGGAGTAGACAGACTAAAATATTTACAATTACATCGTAATTTTTAAAATTTTTACTGTTGATTAAAATGTATCAAGATGCTGACATAACTTGACGTACAATATTCACATATTAAACACTAGTAAAGGCATCCGCCAGGGCTGAGATTCGTCATCATTCAAAATGCAAAATTATTGAGAGATTTAGTGATTATTGAGGCTTATCATTAAGTCATCTGTGTTAAAGCAAGAGAGGTCTCCGTTTTTCTAGAAAATTTCTTTCAGATAACTCAATGGCGCTATTATGAATATCACTGCTTTACCGTTTGGATTATAGCACTTGTATACTTCTCTTTCTCACAGTCTCTTTAGTCATATTGTTCCGGTTAACAACATCTAAGTATATGTAGTAAACGGCACAAAATATACATTAAACTGAGTTTCGTTGTTGTGCCAATTGGTTTGCTTTTCATACCCAAATTTTTACATTTTTTCCTAGAGATCTCACCCAATGACCACTTAATATGTGCCGTGCATAGTTAAAAATAAAGCTCTCCTGCCCAACATCTACAGTGTTTCTGGAATTCGTTTTTTATGTATATTGTCCAGATTGGAGCCATAAAATTAAGAAATGCTTAGATCAATCATCCATTTAAGAAAATTAGGATTTAATATACAAACTATTGGCGTTAATTGTTGCATTTCCGTTCATCCTACAAGTAATCCATTTATAGCCATTATTATTTTCGTATATCATTGAATCTTTTTCTCAAAATGTGGTTTGATCGATGGGAATAGACTTCTCAAATCGGTGACAAAATTCATTTGGCAATAGAAATACACAAATACTGTGAAACGTAGAGCTAAAATAGAACCATGAATAAATATTTATAAGCACAGATCAAGTCATTAACTATGTTAATAAAGGTATATCAGCTTGAATGTTAGAAAGACTTAAGCACTGTTGAATGAATTCGCACAAAATTGATGAAGTTATAAATATGTATTTGATATGGACTACCGTTTTATTAAATGTAATCCTGTTTCTTGGAATAATATGTATCATCTTATCTTACGCCTGTTACCCATCGTGTAGTACAGGCCACCCGCCAGAAATCTCCAACCGACTCTGTCCTGGGCTCATAATACAAAAATATGTATCATGATTAAAGGTATAAATCTACAGTTGCACTTCTACCTTAACCACCACCATTCTTAAACAAAATTTGCATGAGTTGCATAAATATCTATTTCATATTTGTCAACCATCATGTTTTACGTTATCGCTAAAAGTGGATTGAATTATATATGAAAGCTGAGGCACCTTTTACAATAAATCCGATATTTTGTGTGAATAACAGTTTTCAAGGATTATCACCTAATTATGCAACATTAATGATGTTTTACGTATTGAATTTTCTTTAGCCCAGAATACAGAAAGTGTGATCGGAGTGTATTACTAAGAATAAATAAAGCTCATTACTTATTCACTTTTATAAACATTCATCAAAATTTCGAAGAACAATGTGCCGTAAATAGGGTGCCAAGTATATGTAGGGAAATATTTCCTTGAAGACGCTCAGACTAGTTTTCCGGTCGAAGTGATGGAATCGTTTTAATTTCAATAGCCGAGATTATTTCAAATTATCACTTACATCCAATGTCATTTTTGCAATAGCTCTCCGAATTAAATCAGTTTATCATGAAAACTACTGAAACATTAGAATAATCCTACTGTGAATGACTTTTATTTTAACTTATTCAAATTGTAGATACCCAGTTAGTTTATCCATCTAAAACAAGTCTTTTGCTTGTGCGTAACTTATCTACTAAACTATCTAGTGAATCACTAGTTTGTAAAATTTCTATCCTCCTCACATTTTTACGATTAGGACGTTAGATTACAGCCTCAGTTCCCTCTTCAAAGAAAAAGCAATACCACAAATTTGTTAAAAAGCAAAAATCTCATCTTTAAATTTCACAGAACATAGGTCAAGTCACAACTTGTTTTTATTCTGTTTCCAGTTCATGATCAGGTCTATTTCCCAAAAATCACGGACTAGTATGAAACAAGGCATACATTACAGGTTAACGTATACGAATGGTGACCTACTGACAGAGCAACCTGTTGTACACATTAATAAACAAAAACAGTGTAATTTATTAATAAGCTAGTCACTCTTCATATACATAATTGGAAGTAAACGTGGAAAAATATTTTCCAAACAAACGAACTTTTGTTCAGTTTTTTTATAGGGGATTTCGCTACTAAGCATGTTTTACGCTTACGGACGATGTCTTAATATGTCACCATAACCATTAAAATGCAATTAAAAAGTAGTCCAACTAACTTGGATCATATATCAACCACACAGCTAGTTGATTTGCAACTTTCGAATCGAAGAGGAAGTGCAAATTTCCCAAAACTGAAAAAATTCCACTGGTTGCACAAAGTAACAGTGAAAGACGTCGAATCCATCTATCAGACAACTGATGACGCTAAATAGTTATTTATAAAAAGATTTCCACAATAAAATTTGGTTAATTCTAAAGTGTTTTAGATTATATGTTTATCACTAAAGCTTTTACCACCAGAGTTTAGTGGTCAACAAAAATCAGACTGTAAATTCTTGACGTCGCACTAATAATACAGTGATATGAGCTTATTCTTTTGTTATGATTGGGTAATCTTAGGTGATTTAGAGACAATAAAGAAGAATCCCTGGAACTAAATTCTGTTATAGTCGATACTTTTTAGTAAAAGATATTGTAAATATCGAGTAAACTGGTTCTCTCTGTGAGATATAGATCTGTGTTATCTAGTGTTGAAGATTAGAAATATTCGGTGCGCAAATGGCCTCCACGAGTGAGATGGCAAAATAATGCCTGAATACCAACTAGTGACCATGCCGAGTAATCTATGGCATTAATTTTCCACTCTTAGAAAAGTTTCCCTCCGTATTTTCTCGATTCTTCATCTTCTTGAACAAGTTTATCTTTTGGGAGCTTGAGAAAAATTCAACTCTACTGTGATTAGTAAGTTTGACCGCATACAATATGAATATAAATTAAAACCTTATCGGATGAATTGATGTTTGTTTGAATGGTAAAAGAATGTAAGATACGGTTGAAGAATTTCTAAATCATAGAGCAAAATGAAATTTTATGACTACCTAGGTGAAATTTTGAAGCCGATTAAAACCGTAAGAATCCATCCGTCCCTTATTTCTCGTTCACTAAAGTTAGTTTAGATACTCACAACAATGCTCAAACCAATCTCTGTTAGGTTTGTGGATGCGCATTGATGAAGAGTCCCACACTTAGAATAAACAACCATTGAGTGCTTCTTAATCTTTGGTGGTTGTCCAAATAAAGTCAATTCGAGATATAAAACTGAAAACTCAACAATCTCCACAGTCCCTTTGTACTGAAAATAGTTTAGTACAGCGATTTAGTGTTTATATTACTGAGAAATCTGGATTTTTTGTAGCTTATACATAACAAGTTTCGCACTCATAAAACCCAAAATAAAAATAGTCCAAACTCAGTAAAATATATACTAGTATCATTTCGACAGTAACATGACTATCAGTATAATCATGAAAATGGTTAGTCAATAAAATATTTCGAATGAAAGAATTTATGATTGGACAAAAGTTTAATGGTCAATGTTTTGCAAATGTAAACTCTTCTAACAAATCAAGCAAAATTACTCAATGTTAATCACAGAAAAATGTTGGTTATTTTCTTTTTAAAGACGTACAATTTCTGATCCAAGATTAGTACATCGATAAATCCATTTCACAGAACGTTCAGAAAATAAAAGCAGTAGATTTGTCGATAACCAAATTGCTTTACATGAAGAAAAAATAATCGAAAAGAAGTTTAAGGATTCGCATTATTGTTTGTAAAAAAATATAAATCTTACAGCAGCAATTATGAACGCATGTGTTATTTACGTAACCATGAATTCAAACCTTTCAACATCAATTTAAGTCTTAAAAAATGTACAGATAGATTAAGATTTTTTCACTATGATGATTTTGGTTGTAATTACGGACCGACATAAAATGATGAACCATGTTTCACAAGACATTTGGATCATCAAAAGGTGGGATTTATCAAAAATGTATAAGATATGGAGTTCTGGTGATCAATACGATCCTGTTTTTAGATTACTGATCTAAAATTCTGTAGTCTACATTTTTCAACTTCTTCCAAAATTAATGAAATAATGGTACTAATGCCGAATGGCTTCAATGAGTATCAGACTCCACATGGGTCATAGCCTTTACTGGAACTTGAGAAATTCATCCCTAAACTTGCCACATAATGATTAGTTAGTTAGGTTATTTGTAGAGATTTATTCGACTCAAAGATAGTTCTCATCGACGAGATGCAGAATATTGGATTCTGACTTACTATGAAGTCTAAAAAGATTGTGATCACCACAAAATTTGGATGCTCTAGGCTTGATTACAATTGAGCTACGAGAGATCGAGCACTATCACGATCTTTCGAACGTAAACAAATCAGGTGTTCAATATTTTCTGATTTTCAGCGGTTCTTAAACTGGTCTCAGTTTATAATGAATTATTTTTGGATAAATTAGTTTTATTCAGAGATATTTATGTGAACTCATTTGGGAATACTGGAGATGCTGATAATGTGTGTACAATATTCTGTGATTTTGCATCACGCATACTTCCAAAATGCGAACCAACTAAATGAAACATCGGCGAATCGAATACACTTTTAAAGCCATGTAAGCAGTTAAACAAAAAAATATCACTATGTAGATTGACTATGCAGCATTAACCTATGAT